TAAATATTTACAATATTTGACAAATCTCAGGTAATCATGACAGCAGTTGGTCTCTTTTCTTCGTTCATATTGTTTTCAATAATCAAACGTCATGATTACCTGGGTTTTGTCAAAAAAGGTAAATATTTACGTTGTTTGTACCAAAGAATTCCACCTAAATCAAAACAGGTGTTACGGTAAGTTCTGTAAGCATAAGTTCCGATAAGTTAAGAACAGTTCCGTGAGCTTCAGGAAAATTCCCACAACCCTAAAAAAGTTCCGAGAATTTCAAAGTAGTCCAGAGATCTTCAGAGAGCTCAAGAAAACTTCATTGAAAATTTGGGAACTTAAAAGAAGCCAAGAGATCATCAGGAAGGTTTGAAGGATTTTAGAACAGTGCCATTTTTTTCAGGGCAGTACTGTGAACTTCAGGAGAATTTAGAGAACTTCAGGAATGCTCCGGATCATTAAGACAAACCTATAATGGTAGTTCAATAAATTTCAAGGAAATTGCAGGAACTTCAAAGAAGTTTCTGGAAAATCAGGGAATTTATGGAGCTCCTAGAGTTTCTTTATAATTTTGGAAAGAAACAGAAATTGTGAGCAGATTTTAAAGGAATTCCGTGATTTCAATTGTAGTTTCAAGAACTTCAAAAAAAGCAGGAACCTCAGCGAAGATCAGTGAACTTCTGAAATTTTTTTAGATTTTTAGGAAGTTTCATTATATTCAGGGTAGTTCCGAGTAATTCAAGGACGATCAAAAATCTTCAGAGCAGTTCCGTTAATTTAAGGAAAATTGCAGGAAGTTTCATGGAGTTCCAAGCAATTATGAGGTATTTTGAGAATATATGTAACTTGATACACGGAGATGAAAAACTACCCAAAATTAAGTACTTTTCCCTCAATTCCGGGGTTCAGCCCAATAACCTAAATTTGAGTAAATCGCATATAGTAGTTTCAATTTAACACCAGCAAAAAAATTACCGACTCTTAAGTATATTCTACCCAAAATTAAGTTTAATTCACGTAAATTTGAGAATATACATTTTACTCAAAAGTAACTTATTGGGCTGAACTATATCGTTGGGTCGAATCTCTTGTTATTTTTTTGACAACAATAACGAGTGCAAGTGAGAGGCTGAAGTCAATATTAAGTAAAAAGAACTCAAATTTTGGGTAGTATTTTTTCTCCGTGTAGATGTCCAAAGAAGATCAGAAACAAAAACGATTTTTAGGAGAAGTTCCATGAGCTTCTGAAAAAGTTTTCAAAACTTAATTGCGTAGATTACGGAGACTAACAACAATTTCAGGAAATTCCAAGTTAAATAAATTTCAGGAAAACTGCAGGAACTTCCTAAAATTCCAGAGAACTTCAGGAAAGATCAGAAAACAGAGAAATTCTGAGAAGATTGGGAAAATGGAAAAACATTTTTTTGTACGCTTTAGGGTTGTTTCGAGAATTAAAGGAACGTCACGGAAGATCATTGCAAATCTATTAATTTCAAACAAATAACGGTGAATTTTAAGAAGTTTCCAGATTTTCAAGAATTCCAACGAACTTCGGAGGTGTTAAAAAACCTTCAGATGGTATTGGGAACTTCATAGAAGTTCAAAGAACTGAACTCAGAAGAACGAGAATTTCAAGAACTTCAGGGGAGATCAGAGAACTTTAGGACATCAATTTCAGGGAAATTGTATAAACTTCAGGACGTTCCTAGAATTTCAGAAAAATTGTGGGAACTCCAAAGATGATACACGAAACGAAAATCAATTATTTTATTCATGTGTTTCACTTATACATTTTTGCCAAAACATCAGCCTTATACATTCGATAAGACAAACCACATAGGTCCTATAAGAATATATAAAAGGTATGTGTGACCGTTTATACATTTCATTTGACACATGATCTTCATTAACTTTTTGCAAGGCGTCTGTTTATTACTTGACTTATACATTTTATGAATAATCAGCAATAGAAATTTTCCAAAAGGTATAAGGAGATTTCTATCCGTGTACATGATCGTTACGAAAATTGGGGGAACTTTTGCGTATAGTCCACAGAAGTTCAGGGAAATTTAAAGATTTCAAGGGAAGTACCATGAGCGTCAGAGTTTTTTGTATGGTCGAAAACACATCAAAGTTAACAAAAATTATAAAACATTTGATCATTATGTTTAAGTTACGATACGATTTTTTGTGAAATTTAACACTTTCAAAATCGTTCTGTGTGCAAATTTTCACATAAAAAATGTATAAACAAAATATTTTAAAAAAGTTAGAAGGGTTGTATACTAGATACGACTGCAGGGTTGGCGTTAGATAGCGTCTGTTATGTGTTGTACTGAATTGTGTGTATTATATTTTAGGAATATTCCTTAATAACTCTTTTGCGAAAGTTTGGTGGCCCTGAAAAGGGCCGTTTTGTTGGGCTGATGTTGTTGGGTTTGCTCTACTCTGTCGCCCTGGAGGAGCTTTGGAATGATGTTGGTAGTTCGAAGACAGACAGCATCTCCCCTTCCAGCGTTCCCACACCCCAGTATAGTCCCCAAATTTAAGTGTAACTGTGAAATTCTGGAAAGAAATTTTCTTCAAAACTAACTCTTTGTCGAATTATTGGTGGCCCTGAAAAGGGCCGTTTTGGTTGTGGTTTTGGAATGATGGTTATGCCGAGCATGGGTATCGGATGGCGATGGCGATTTTGATGAGCGGTTTGCATGCCGGGCGCTTTGCTTCAACCACGAGTGCGGTGAACTCCGGGTAAATATTATTACCAATCAGTAGAACAGCGCTAGGTGGTATGATGAACCGGGAAATCCACTCGAGATGTCGAGAGGGTAGATGGTTGTTTTGGGGGTTGTGATGAGGACGATTTTGGAACGGAACGGGTTGTGCTCGATGATGCATCGTTCTTCTTCACACAGTCTGTGAAGACGAGTTCGATTCTGAAATAAGTTTTGTAGAAATGCAATAAAAATGGAATCTATGGCTCTGCGAAGATTCAACTTTCGATATTCAAGTGTCGAAAAGGCATTAGAAAATTAATCGTTAAACTCTTTCTTGATAATGTTGTGGCCCTGAAAAGGGCCATTTTTCCAACGCGCTCGGCGTAGTTACCCTTGCGGAGCAGACTGAGAACTGCAGCAGCTGGGCATTCCATGACGGCGGCCCAGTATACCGGAGCACTGGCACCAACGCACTCGGCGTAGTTGCCCTTTCGCCCCCAGGCTCTGCTTCCGCTGCTCTGCTGCTCTGCTGCTGGGTCGACGATCGGATAGACAATGATGGAACGGGCGACCTTGTTGGTCGCTTATATAGTAGAACAGAAAATATCAGAGGTGTCAGATACTCGCATCTGATGTCTCGGTTGGAGAAAGTATAAGAATATAAAAAAATCAATCGATTTTCACCAACTTTAGACAATGGTTTACTTTTAACCATTTTTCAATAGTTTACAGAATGAAATCAATAGTTTTGAAACATTCAGCAAATTGCTAGAAATATTTCCAATCGATTGAAACTTGATCAAACTTGAAAATCTCACAAAAGTTAACATTTTGCATAAGCTTTTTAATAAAAATGTTCAAACAAATTAAAGCGGATATTTTTTTGATATATAAGTTTCAGTCACATTTTTGGATTTTTACCTAAAATTACTAAAATTGTTATACCGTGTAAACTGACCCCAAAAAGATTCAAAATGACCGAATTTTAGCTAAAAAGTAAATGATTGACCTTAAACAAACAATTATACAAAGTTTCATATACAAATCGGAAAAGGTTGCATAAGTTCGATTCTTCATTTGGCGTGGAACTGAGCAAACATTCTGTATTTCTGTGTGGATTTACGTCAGGAAAATGTCTAGTTGTTGGAGTTAGACAACAGTAATGAAGTAGGTACACCCCAGGCTAGACCGCAGTAACCTTATAAAAATATGTTTTAATAAACTATGCATTGTTCTTCAAGACTGTTCGTCAAATACTGACTTGTTTTAGTGTCACTGCGTGTTATAACTCTATCAAAAATAACCTAGCATCCCACGAAACAATTTGGGTGAGGATTCTGTAGACCATGATTTAGACTTGAAGAATGCTTTAAAACTTCGATTAAACTTGAAAAATGTCACTTATCATATCTAGAAAGATTCAGAACGCTTGTTTTCACTAATTTTTAATGTTTTTCAAATAACTCGAAAACAGTAAGCAGTGAAATGTTGACGTCTTGGAAAGAATTGTTTTTCTTTATAATCACTTTAACGCTCTTGGATCATTCGTGACTTGTCTGGGGGTGAGTTTTGAACTCGTGACTGGCGTGAGAGGTATGGATTCCAACCACTACGCCGGGGTCGCCCATGGAAAGAATAGTTTTTTTTTTTTTAATTAACAACTTTGCTGAAGACGTCAAGTCCTTAAAATATCAGAGTGTAAAGTTCGACTTTCGCACCATATATGCGGCTGAATTTCCAACTGACACATTCTACGATGTACGTGAAGTAAGGAGTTTGACATATCTTGTTGTCAGTTAAAAATTGAAAAATTAAAAGAAACCCCAAAATATTAGAGCAGATTTGAAAGTGCGTCAAACTTCCTATGATAATTGATCAAGATATTCTGATTTGAGTACATCACAACGTTTTGGTGAGTATACTGCAAGTGGACGCCATGTCCCATGTAACTTTTCGGCAATTTTAAGGTTTAAATGACGCCATAATTTGATAGTACATATTTGGAGTCGATACGTAAATAAATCGATACGCTAAATAAATTAAGAAGTCATCTTCGATCTTTTCGATAGACACATGCCATTTTGTATTCAAATCCGTTCAAAAAAGAGAGGTAAAGCGCGGGTCGTATATCGATATCGACGGTTCCTTCAAAAGGTCTAGTAGGCTTTTCATGTTCTACATCTCGATCTATTCATATCTCGATGGTCCCTTCATTCGAGACATGGATTGACTGTAATACTAGATGGAGTTCTTTCATACTACTTTCTTAAACAGGTCTGAACGACTTGCGTGATCATTGAATTGTTGTATTATTAAAGCAAAAGCAGCGAACATAAATTAAAATCTTTTCCTTTGAACGACCGCTATAACAGATGAGATAGGTTCTATTAATCTACACGTCGGCGAACATTTCAGTTCAATTCAAACTGAAAAGCATTGACTCTTTTCGAAATGTTATTTACAGGATACATAAATCACACATAAATCATCCACATACAGTCTCACAACAAAATGTCTCTCTATCTCTCTCTAAACTCACATCCCACTCATCCAATTCCACAGGGAATGGTCCTCAACCACACCAACAGCCCCAGCCAAGCCTCCTACAGGTCAACCTTGTTGTTCAAGGCCGAGTAGCCGACCGGAATCTCGCGCAATTCCGTTTTCAAACACAGGAACTCGCCACACACGCACATCAGTGCCGTACAGACGGCATTCAGCAACCACCAGCTGATGGTGGAGGGGAACGCACTGTTGTACCACCAGCAGATCACTAGATGGATGAAGTGAAACGTAACGCTGAAATCCAAACAGAGCTTGGTGCGCCGCACGATGAACCACAGCAGCCCCGAACCGATGAGGGAATTGAGCACGAACGCGAATATTACCAACCGTCCTCCTATGTCGGTGACGTGAATTTCCTACGGCGGGGAGACGAATGTTTGTTAAACTGTTGTAGTAGGAGCAAGAACCATTGCGGACGGAAGCTACTTACGTGATACTCAAAGAGATGGTCCAGGGTATGATTGGCCTCGGCAAACAGATCCATCACGAACATGAAGGTGCCGAGACTGACGTAGAGAAGGGCCTGCATGGCCACGATTTGCGCTATCAACAGGTACGGATCCCATTGGGTATTCCGGAACGTTCCGGATAGCTTTTTCATCTTCTGACGTGTTTTTTTTTTTCGTTTGGCCGTACCGCTGATGTAATCAATGTTGAAACCACTGCAAACTTACACTAATAATATCCGGTCGATATTTTTACATTTCATAGTTTGTTGTTTGGGGCAATAATCAAGCAATTTTTTGCAATTTCATCACAATCGAACGAAAAAGGAAGGAACTGTTTTGATAGTTTTGATTTCACTTTATTTACGTAGCGAGCCAAGTGTCAAACGGGAGTGGATTCTATGCTGCGGGAGCTTGTGGGTGGCGTGGATCTTATGTTGCACGAAGAATGATGAAGCTTCGCAGTGCAGTGATGTCAGATCAACTGTGCAGAATTGAACGATTTAATGATGCAATGGATGCAATGTACTTAACTTATTCATTCGAATGTAAATTTCAAATCTAACTTCCAAAATGTGGCTTCTTTGAATAAAGCATAAACGTTAAATTAAAATTTAGTGAACGCCGTAACATAAAAAGTGCTTACCGACGTTTTCTTGGAATCATCCAGATTATTTGACGAATAATTTCACCCTTGGGAGAGTATCGTTTATATGGCTTCCGTTTATTTTCACTTTGCTTTTTTACCTGATGATGGAAAATTTAAAACATAATCCATAACTTACTGGGAAAACCATTTCACCGCAACCGGCACCACTGCTGACCACATTGCTTTGTTTTTGTTTACATTCTTTCATTCTCCGGATGTCAGCGTGCATTCGTGAGCTCGCGGAAATTAATTTCCAATAATTCAATAGTGCTGTGATACATAAACAGTAAGTGCATTTAGCAGTCTAGCAAAAAGAACATACAGGTAAGGATATTCATCATTTCGGTTTGAGGAATATAAGGGAAAGAATATATTGTGGAATATTTAAAAAAAATATGATTCATGTTCAGTGTTACCACCGTTGCTACACCTTTTCGACGAGCGGCAGTGCTGCCAATCTTGCTGAAGCATCCATTACGAAAATAGCGAAATATTGCTGATTCACATATATCTAGAGTAACATTTGAAATGGGCCTATGTCCAAAACGTAAACAAACCAGAAAATGAATTTTAAATATTTCTGCCACTATTCAATTCATATAAGAAAATTGAAGTATTTTAGGTATTTAAATTGTTTACAATAACAATAGTAACTGTATCTCAGTATACAACATCCAAAATATACGAAAAGCTTTCAAAAATATATGAAAATCGATAATAATTTAATTTTATCAATTAATAAGCCTTTTTGTGAATCTTTCAATGGATAGGCCCTTTTTGTTAAGCCGTTGTGCTTGTTGATAGGCTTGCTAAGCCTTTGCGCAAGGTCAAATAAATTCGAAACAAATCATCGGCCCTGCCTCAAGCAGTAGGGTCTACAATCAATACGAAACTAACGATTTAAAATTGGCTCACTACTTGACTAGCCTATTGGTCCCAAGCAAACGATCAATGTACCCCATTCTAGTCGAAATTCTAGTACTACACAATGTTTGTTTTGATTCGCTATGAAAGTTTGACAGATAAAATGAGGGGTTAGTGGATTTTCCTATGTTTCGAGGGGTGAATCGATTAGCTTGGGACCGAAGAGAGTACCAGAGCTTAGCCAAAAAGTTGAGCACGTTTCTTCGGGACCTTCTGGTCTTAAAGTTACCTCTATGGTAGGGCCTAGCTTTGGTTTGAAAATTTTCAATTTACGTCACTGGCCTATCAATGAAATGAAATAAATGAATGGTTGGCCGTTTTAGCGTGCGGGCCTATTAATGAATCGAAAAATTTCGTTGATCGGTCGTTTAGAAAATCGAGGTATTTTCCGAGGGGGACGACTCTATCTACGATGCAGAAAAGATTGTGTTTTGCTGTGGCTAGCTGCGCGCACGCTGAGTAGATAGAAAGAAGATTGATGACGATTCTGAAGTTTTCCTGCAAAAAGATGATGCTCGATGCAAGTAGATGCGATAAATGAAAGAAGATTTTTCGAATATTGATTTGCTAGTGTGAGATTTGTTGAGTTTGCTTTATTTTTTTTCAGCTTAGATCAAAAAATCCTATGGTTTTGAAACTCTACATTTAAATCGGCCTTTTACGATTTTCGGGCATAAGTCAGAAATAAGTGTCATGACGGTTTGTTAGTGATGCATATTGCATATATACGTTCAACCGCAAAAGATCAGTTAATATCTTCTCACAGACAAACAGACATAACACATTGAATATTTCTCACTGTAAAACATCGTCGCTAAAACATTACCGCCATCTGTTGAGTACACTGCGGTGGGTAGTACGCTGAACAGATGGCGGTAGTGTGTAAACGTCAAACGCAAGGGGATTGACTATGCGCGCCAAAGGTGGCGGTACTATCAACTATGATACTTTCAAATGGTCCGTTAAATACTTGTTCGATGAACAACTTGCGAATGTTATGTCTGTTTGTCTGTGATCTTCTGTTATCTCATATTAACATTTAATTATTTTTAATTGTTTCAGATAAGCAATCGCAATGGAAATTCCACTAGAGTCTCAAGAACACACAATCCCGGAAATCAAATATGAATGTAAGTTACAGTAACATCGTATGAATTAAGTAACTTAGTTACTTAATTCATAAGATTGTATAATTTGATTATTGTAAGAAATTAATTGTATTATTCGAATTCAACAGATTTGGACCACACGGCTGACGTTCAGTGAGTATTCTCAGTTACATAATGCCTTTAATCGCATATCAGTCCTATAAGCGTTTTCGCTATTTTTTTTCATATCTAATTTCAAATTGTGCGATAAAATCGAGGATAAAATCAAGGACTTTATTCTTGAAAAAGATAAAAAAAAATGTATATATATATGAAGCCCGTAGTACACACTTAGTTTTTCCTACCGAGCTCGGCTGTGCAAATCTCGGCAAAAAAAGTTTCACTGAGATCTCAGCAAAACTTTTTTTGCCGAGATTTGCACAGCCGAGCTCGGTAGAAAAAACTAAGTGTGTAGTTTAGATTTTTGACTTTTCATATTTCTTCCTGATGGGTACCTCCCTACCTAGGGCAAGGCCTCCCTTAGATCAGTCGGTAAGGGCTCAGCTATTAAACAAGATCATGCTCTAGGCGGCTGAGTTCGTTTCCCGTCCGGTCTAGGAATTCCTAGAGATTTCTGGTCGAAAAATTTCACGACTTCCCGGGCATACAGTATGATTGTACTTGCCACACAGTAATGGTACTGGCTTAGTAGAAAGCTCTCAATTAACAACTGTGGATGTTCTCAAATAATACTAAAGCGAATCTCACACGTATCAATATATATAGAATGTATTGACAATACGCGGTTCTCTTAAGTTGAGAGCCGGTGTAAAGTCTCAGTACGGATTTAATAAATGCCAAAGAAGGTAGAGGTAACCGTAATAAAACTAACCATGCTAAATACCAAATTATTCGATTTTCCATCCGCACAGACTGCACGCCTGGGGTGAAACGCTGAAGGAAGCCTTCGAACAGTGCGGTATGGCAATGTTCGGTTACATGACGGAACTGTCGTCGGTGGACATCCAAAAGTGCTACGAAATTAAAACCGATCCAACGGACGATATGGAAAATCTACTGTTTCGATTCCTGGACGAGTTGCTGTTTCTCTTTTCCGCTGAACCGTTTCTAATTTGCAAAAAGCTGGAAATTACCAAGTTTGATACGGAGGAAGAAAAGTTCTACATCGAGTGTAGGTGCTACGGAGAGGAGTTCGATCTGAGCAAGCATCCCCAGGGAACCGAGGTCAAGGCAATCACCTATGCGTCTATGCAGATCAACCAAATGCCCGAGCAGAACAAGTGTGAGGTGTTTGTTATTATTGATATTTAGCGTTTTTAAATAAATGCCTTCATGGTGGAGAATAAAGAAGTAAACAATATTGAGTTTTTTTTTTCTTCATCCAAATCGTACTCCTTACACCAAGTTGTTTTTACAGTTGTTGGTAAACATTTTATTGACTTTCAAACAGCTGAACATTCGGTAATCAGTTCGGTAAAAGTTTGGTTTACTGAACGATCAGTAAACTTGCAATGTATACTCAACTGTCAAATAATACCGACTAGCTCATCACTCAATACCGACGTTCGGTAAAATTTACAAAATAATCGGTAAAAATAGAAAGGCCGTCATCTGTCAAAAATTACAGTTCTTTCGATAGTTTTTACTGAAAAGCAGTGAAATATAGGGAATTGTTCCGTTCAAATCATGCACAATATAAATTGTTGCTTATATCTTTTATTAAATGCAATTCGTCAATCTGTTTATCCAACGAGTCAGCGATCGCCAGCCATTTTATTTGAGTGTTAAAAAATGAAAACATTTAGATAATATAAATAGTACTTACTGAAAAGATCCCTTAGTTCTGCATCCGGCCGTTAGCACATCTAATCTTATCGGACACATCTTCCATTTCAATGGTTTACAAGTTTTTTTTTTCTGCTAATATTTTTGCACGATTTCTTAAAATTTAATTACACCGCTTAACATGCGAAATTGACGAAGATTTGACAGGCGTGATTTTAACTGAAGCGTTCAGTAATAATTACTGAACTCCTGTATTGTTTACATTTTTCGTCAGTATTTATAAATTGTTCACTGGAAATCGGTAAAACTTTTACTGAACAGTTTAGATTAAATGACATTTCATGGCTTACAAACTACATCGGTAAAATAGATGCAAATTTTCAGTAATATTTTCATGGGAATTACCGAAAACTTGTAGATATTTGACAGACAGAAGAAAATTAAAGCAATTTTACAGATCACTCAGTAGAAATTAAATTTTACAGATCAAAACCGTAAAAAAATTTACCGAACATCAAAATTAGAATTTGGTGTGAGGCATTGGATTCTTGTAAATAAAATGGGAGCACTGCTGGATAACTGTAATTGAAGTTATTCACAACATTACGTGCTGTTTGCCTGTATATTCAGGAACATCCTCTAATTGAATATACCAGAGGAACTCAGACCAGCAGTTCACTTCTCGGTTCACTTATAGATTTATACGAAATGTAGTCTCAAGAGAAAGAGGCTGTTATTCAGACCTCATTAGCACCCTTAATACAAATAATGATGCAACTCACACAAAACAAACTACAGCAGTCTATTAATCGTCCTCTATAGTCAGTCTCCAACTATGTTCTCCACCGGTTCCATCTCTTTCCGGCCGCTGATAGACCGTTGCTTTTGACAGGCCGATAGGATAGGTTTCTGGTATGCCTTTGAGGGCATTATAAAACCTTAACTTTTATCATCCAATGAACATAAAACACCAACATTTCGCACACCCGCCACTTTCTGCGTCAACCTCAATCCGATTTATCCTTGCGATTTCAAACCAAAACATTCAAGGTGTCAGAAATACCGGTTTGCCGGTATGGGTCTAGGGGCAAGTCAGCTGTACTCTGAGCTAATATATTAATATTGAGTAACTGTGAGTTACTCGTAGCTACTCAAAAAATAACAAAGTAGCCTTAAGATAACTTTTTTTCAATCTGTCGTATTTACAAACAAAATAACGTCAGCCATCAGCCAAAATAAAGGAAAGAAACATGATCAACTCTGGTGAGTCTATGTACATGTAGTTACGGACCTGCAGCATTTTGAACTACCTCACTGGAAGATAAATTAAAGCAAAAAAGCTTAAAAAGTATGCAGATTCCCACTTTACCTTATTGTGTCCGAGCCATGATTACTTTGGCAGTAGTCATGCATGATTAAATGCGAAATAATCTTTCCAGTATTAAATGTTATTCTTTTTGAATACTGATAAATATATAATCAAAAAAGATTAAAATTCAATCAAAAATTATTAAAATAGAATCAAAAATGATTAAAATTTATTCAAAAAAGATAATCTTCAATCTAGTCAACCATGATTAAACTGGTATTAATGTCAGATGCTTATTTTTTAGAAAGAGAGTATTAATTTTTAATCATTCGATATGATTAAACCAACAATCAATACGAAACTAACGATTTTAAATTGGCTCACTACTTGACTAGCCTATTGGTCCCAAGCAAACGATCAACGTACCCCATTCTAGTCGAAATTCTAGTACTACACAATGTTTGTTTTGATTCGCTATGAAAGTTTGGCAGATAAAATGAGGGGTTATTGGTTTTTCCTATGTTTCGAGGGGTGAATCGATTAGCTTTGGACCGAAGAGAGTACCAGAGCTGAGCTATGATTAAACTGAGTTCAATAATGCCAAATTGATTAAATTTCAAGAAAAATGGGAATAGTTTAATTTATCAGTGTACACTAGGGTGTTTCATTTTGAAAAAAGTGATGAATTTTTGATAGGCCACCCTCCAGTTCGATTCATAGCCCCAAAATATGAACCTGTGCAAAAAATGGTAAAGATTGATGAAGGTTTAGAGGTCGCGCCAATGATTTGGATTTTGTATGGAGATTTTGGTGAATTAGTATGGGAAATTATTGATTTTCGTTTACATTGCTCTAACTTTGGTTGTAGTTGTCCAAACGTTGAAAAAAAAAAATATGTGGTTGTCATGACAATGATCAACAAGCCTGTTGTTGTTGCGATGAAATTGGCGTTGTTGCCTTGTACATATTCATCTGTCAATTTACCCTATTTTGCCATTTTTTCACATTTTTATAATTCTTGATACGCTGCAAAACTGAGCGTAGCAACTGTAGGCTTTTTGTTTATTGCCATAGCAATAACATACTAAATTTTTTCGACATTTGGACAAGTAGAAGCAAAGTTATAGCGATATAAGCGATTTTTTAAATTATTCCATAGTAATTCCCATACAAATTTCAAATCATTGGCGCGACCTCTAAACCTTCATCAATCTTTACCAATTTTTGCACAGGTTCATATTTTGGGGCTATGAATCGAACTGGAGGGTGGCCCATCAGAAATTCATCACTTTTTTCAGAATGAAGCACCCTAGTGTACACATCCCTGTCAAATGGCCACCACGAATTTGGACAGTTAAAGCCAACTCGCATATACAAATTATATCGTCTTTCGAATGTGTTCACAATTGTCCTTAAATGCAATTATTAAGAAATAAATGATGATTTTTTATTTTGTTTTACAACTTATTAGTTTCTCCGAAAATATTTTCAATTATATATTACACTTTAATCCATAAAACTCATGGATTTTCATGAACTAATGGCAGGGTTGCCGGTGTGAATTTTTCATTACGTGTTTGGTAGAATATTCGTAGTATGCTTTCAATTCACAAAGCGTTATTGGCAATAATTTTTCACTTCCACTGACGAGACAAGCTGCGATGTCTGGAATAATTCTATGGTAGAAGCAACATGTTCCTTATTCATGGCTGACCAAAGTAATTAAAGTCATGCAAAATGCCGGGAATGCAAGTGATGCGCTAGAATATAAGAAAAGAAGTTTACAAAATTATTTTGAACTTACACCGGTGAAACATATGTGACACATAACTCGATCAAAACTTTTCACTCGTTGTCTGAGTTGGTGCGATACATATTGACATTTTGACAACGATATTCATCATTGAGCAGCGCGAGTAACTCAGAGCTGCTCAAAATTTTGCTTAAAAATTACTTAAAGCTGTCGCCCCTAAGGGATGGATATTTTACAAACAATCGCAGCTTGCTCAATGACCGGCACAATCGGCACACCTGTGGCACACTGACAAAAAAGATGACCCAAGATTGGTGTGCGGAGTGACCTACACACTTAGAAATTTTTACAGAAATCTGTAAAATTTTACCGAAATCTCAACAGCTGAAACAGTTTCACAGATTTCCTGTACTTTTTCACAAATATCTGTGATTTTTTCACAGATATCTGTAAAAAGTTACAGGAAAACTGTAAAACTGTTTACCGAACGTTCAGCTGTTGAGATTTCGGTAAAATTCTACAGAAATCTGTGAAATAATTTTAGTGTGTACCCCTTCACATAGGCCCTTTTCTAATGTTACGCGCAGTGTTGGCAAAATCATCAATCAAATAAAAAAAATCCGCTCTCATACGCTCTCAATATCACGCGTGATATTAGCATAGAGGTAACTCTTAGACTAGTAGCAACAATCAATACGAAACTAACGATTTTAAATTGGCTCACTACTTGACTAGCCTATTGGTCCCAAGCAAATCGATTAACGTACCCTATTCTAGTCGAAATTCTAGTATTACACTATGTTTGTTTTGATTCGCTATGAGGGGTTCGTGGATTTTCCTATGTTTCGAGGGGTGCATTGATTAGCTTGGGACCGAAGAGAGTACCAGAGCTGAGCCAAAAAGTTGAGCTCGTTTCTTCGGTACCTTCGGGTCTTAGAGTTACCTCTATGCTAGTAGGTCCCGAAGAAACGTGCTAAACTTTTTGGCTCAGCTCTGGTACTGTCAACAATCAATACGAAACTAACGATTTTAAATTGGCTCACTACATGACTAGCCTATTGGTCCCAAACAAACAATTAACGTACCCCATTCTAGTAAAATTCCAGTGCTACACTATGTTTGTTTTGATTCGCTATGAAAGTTTGACAGATAAAATGAGGGGTTAGTGGATTTTCCTATGCTTCGAGGGGTGAATCGATTAGCTTGGGACCGAAGATAGTATCAGAGCTAAGCAAAAAAGTTGAGCACGTTTCTTCGGGACCTACTAAGTAGTCTTAGAGTTACCGAAGGCTCAGCTCTGGTACTATCTTCGGTCCCATGCTAATCGATTCACCCCTCGAAACATAGGAAAATCCACTAACCCCTCATTTTATCTGTCAAACTTTCATAGCGAATCAAAACAAACATTGTGTAGTACTAGAATTTTGACTAGAACGGGGTACGTTAATCGTTTGCTTGGGACCCATAGGCTAGTCAAGAAGTGAGCCAATCTAGGAGCCAATTTAAAATCGTTAGTTTCGTATTGATTGTTGCTGGTACTCTCTTCGGTCCCAAGCTTATCAATTCACCCCTCGAAACATAAGAAAAACCAATAACCCCTCATTTTATATGTCAAACTTTCATAGCGAATCAAAACAAACATAGTGTAGTACTGGAATTTATACTAGAATGGGATACGTTAGTCGATTTGCTTGGGACCAATAGGCTAGTCAAGTAGTGAGCCAATTTAAAACCGTTAGTTTCGTATTGATTGTTAGTAACTTAAGACTAGTAGGTCCCGAAGAAACGTGCTCAACTTTTTGGCTCAGCTCTGGTACTATCTTCGGTCCCAAGCCAATCGATTCACCCCTCGAAACATAGGAAAATTCACTAACGCACTAACCCCTCATTTCATCTGTCAAACTTTCATCGCGATCGCAAAAACTTTGCTGCTAACTAATCTTTTCCCGGGGAATCTGTTGCTTGAATTGCGTAGGAATACGTTTTTGGTAACTAATAACAATTACTGTTCTTCTTCCGATGTGATTCTATATTTTTTTCACGGCATTTTATTCATAACAATTTTGCAGTCACAGCAGTAAGAATACTGATCGGATATACTATCCTTATCAGCGATCAAACGACGTCCAAGTATCCGGAATAAAAAATACAGTAAAAAAAACCTTCTGGCCGAGTTTAGGGGCCTGAGTCTGGTTCACATCCCATAGCCCTATTAAATTTGTATCGAACTGGACCCATAATCCTTAAAACTGGCACCCATTCCTGTGGGGGGTGTCGTTTACAAAGCCAAACAAATATGTTGCCCGAATCGACTTTCTCCGTTTGAGGCAGCATATTTTTTTTTGTATCACGCACACCAGTGGAAAGTCGATTTAAATCGATCACCGCTTGAGTTTTCTACTGCGCTGCTGGCTGGGTGTATCGGTCGGTGGTGCTTTGGTATTGGTGCCAGAAGACTTGTCCACCGCTGCTGTTCATCTTTGGTTGGTGTAGTAAAAGTGAAAGAGAACTGAAGACTGAAGCTTTCAAAGCGCGGACTGCCGCCGAAAAGAAGAGTCGTTTTTCCAATCCCGAGTGCGCCGAGGGTTCCATCCATCGATTGAGGAAAAAGTTGTCCATTTTGTACAAAAATTAGAACACTGTGAAGCCTTAAAGTGCCCTTCAAATGGGACAATTTCGGTAGCGAATGCATTTTATTGTTCGTTGTCGATTGTACAAAACGGAGTAGTTCCATGAATTTGGTCGAAAAGTGCTAAATTTTCCCCATTTTTCCGGGAGGGTGCGGGATAGACGAAGTTCGTGGCCGTGAAAAAAAGTCCGAGTAGCAAATAGCGCTAGGAGTGAAGTAACCTAGAAGCAAGTGATTTTCGGACGAGGTCAGATGTTAGCATAAAACGCGCGGTTTTTGTTTCGTTGAAATTTTACCAATTGTCGAATATTTTACACACAGAGACTTACGAGCCCCGTCATGGCTACTGCTGCAGCTATCCTCTGTGGGTCGCAGTGGTGGTAGAGTGAGTTGGCGCTGTTCTGCTTTTTTTTTTCTCCTGCCGGTCCTCGTCGGTGGTGCTCCAGCTTTCTAGGGAAGGACCCCCAAGGAAACCGCAAAAAAAGGTAAGAGAAAAGGCTGGGAAGGAAAGACGAGTACGGCGACGGATTCATTCCGCACACCCCACCCTCTTTCGTATTTTTATTCGTATTCTCTTCCTCGTCAAAAATGTCCCCCTTTTTCGCTTTGATGACACTTTTACAGCTAGGTTGCGAACGTTGGAAATCGAGCGCTGCATGTAAAAGTAGGTGCTATGTTCGGTTGTGTGTGAATTTTTCTTCCATGTGTGTGAGTGAATGATGGAGGGTTGTTGTGTGTTGGTGTGCTTATGTTGATGCTACTTCGGAGTGTCGGGTCTTTTGCAAAGCAGTGCTGCCAGATACTAGATGACATATCAAGACCAACGTGTGAAAAGGGGCGATGAGCCACATGGTGCCATTTGATTTGGCTTCAGAGGTTGCATTCAAAGTGTTTTGTTACTTTTAAGAGTTGGTTGGAAATGTTATCTAATATCAACATGAAGCTTTAGTGTGATAATTTACTAGCTAGAGGGGTTGATTTTTGGGCGATAAAATATTACCAATATAATAGTGGAGAATTAATTTTTTTTCCCGAAATAGGTACATAACGAATGGAAACGACTCATTTCGCAAACAAAAACATTAAAATTTCGAAATCAAAATTTGAGAGACAAAGACTTCATCAATCACCGATTACCTAAACCGTGACTTCTCAAAGTGTGTCATCTAAATTCTAAATGTATTTCGACAGTGAGCATGCATAAGGGCGTATACGCGATGATCCATTTTCTCTTTGCATTGCTACAGCTAAGCGAAACAATTTTCTAGAATTTATTCAATGCAGAATTGTAACAGGTTGTATTAGCTATCAAAAGCAACAGCAAACGCAACGAGAAACGAGAAAAATCTAGCGAGTTATTAACAAAAGATACAATCGACGAATAAAATCGATCATCGCGTTTACGCCCTTATGCATGTTCACTGTCAAAATAATAGTTATTTGCATGCATATGAGAAGAGGTGTTGATGATAGTTTTCTTATAAAAATAATGTGCCAACTTAAATACAACAATAAATAACATCAATTTTAAAAGAACTTACGTTTTTTTATTAAATTACGTTAAATTGAATAAAAACCTGAAAATTAGAACGTTTGATCTGGGAATTTCAAAATGAAATTTCAGTGGTCACCCTAATTTTCACCATATTTTTAAGTGGCAGGGGACCAAGGGGTAGGTCACTCCGCACACCAATCTTGGCTCATATTATTTGTCAGTTTGCCTCAAGTGTGCCGCAGGTGTGCCGATTGTACCGGTTATACAGCAAGCTGCAATTGTTTGTAAAATACCCATCCCGGCAACCCGGTATTTCTGACACCTTGAAAGTTTTGGTTTGAAATCGCAATGTTAAATCGGAATCAGGATAACGCGGGAAGTGGCGGGTGTGCGAAATTTTGGTGTTTTGCGTTGATAGGATAGTAAAAGTCCTGTGTTTTAGGGTTTTAAAATGCCCTCAAAGGCAGACCAGAAACCTAGGCTTTCGTAATGTGAAAAGCAACGGTCTATCAGCGGCCGGTAAGAGTTGGAACCGGTGTGGAATATTGTTAGAGACCGTCTATAGAGGACGATGAATAGACTTCTGTAGTGTGTTTTGTGTGAGTTGCAGCAATATTTGAATTAAGGTACTAATGGGATCTGACTAACTGGCGCTTTCTCTTGAGCCCACTTTAGAACCTACATTTATTTAGATATATAAGTAAACTGCTGGTCTGAGTTTCTCTGGTATATTCAATTAGAGGATGTTCCTGAATGTACAGTCAAACAGCACGTAATGTTGTGAACAACTTCAATGACAGTTCTGAAGAACTTTGAGATTTGAGCGTAATTGCTTTTGTGAACAAACACGTCAATCGCCGATTTCTCGCGAATAAAAGAACAATCTTGCAAACAAACTATACCAAATGATAGAGAAACCATTCCTCTACCTATTTGTGTTATTAGTTTTTGAGATTGAGCCTTAATTCGCAAGAAGTCGGTAAATAACGTGTTTGTTTACAAAAGCAATTACGCCCTAATCTCGAAGTTCTCCGGAGTTGCCCAGCAGTGCTCCGATTTTATTTACAACAATCCAATGCCTACGAGATTGTGTCGTGTGCCGATGGATGTGCCCAAACTGTTCCGAATCTAATTTCGGCATAATGTGCTGAGTGACTTACCCCTTGCAGGGGACACAAAGATCTTGTTAGAGTACCTAATCACTGAATTATTTTACATAGTAGTAAGTTTTTTTTTTTTTTCCTTTGGTTTGTTTTTTCCGTCGATCTTGTTTTCTATGCTGAGCACCAATGCTACCGACGTGCCAGGAAGGCAGCTCCCACACCTGGACCCTACCTATCGACCCATCAACTCATGAACCGGGGACCAACGGCTTTACTTCCCATCCGAAGGAAGGCGTGATCAGAGATGTTATGCCTCAGAACATCCCGGTGGCGCCGACTGGGATTGAACCCAGGCCTGCTGGGGTGAGAGGTAATCACGCTTACCACTACACCACCGGCGTCGTTATATAGTAGTAAGTTATGATAATAATAAAATAGCCTTTGTCATACGTTGTTCAAACCTCTTCCGAGTCAGACCTACTTTTATTAGATCTCAAAATTAGCGATGCCCAGTGTATCGAAATCTCCTTGTTATTTGATTGACATTTTAGTGCTTTTCGGCCGTAGTTCATCATTAGGATAGTCCGGGTATAGACTACCTGGAAAACCTGGTAAATCAGTTAATTCATTTTCTTGCCTGAAAAATCAGGGAATCTCAGAAAATGCAGAATTTTTTTCTAATCAGAATATTAATATGGCTGACCTCGACAAGAGTACGCACTTAGTTTTAAAACTCAAGTATCTTTTTTACCATAACATTTAGTTTTATTTTTTAATAAGTGAGTCGATTCCGCTTTACTCTACACGATCGAGGATGGTGAGAAATTCAAATGTTAAATTTTAAATAGAATTGGGAACTTGTGTTTGCTAACTTGGGTAGTAATTACTGTTATTATCTGCAAAAAATAACTTCCATTGGGTTAGGACACATCCCTGAGTTTTGAACTGTGATCGGAGGGTTAGTAAAAAGTAATTTCAATCTTTTATTAGACGCTAGACGGTTTTGGTTGTGGCAAAATTTAACCTCCTACTCACCTAGTAGGTTAAATGGTGTATCTCTGAGCAGATTCTATACCTAATGGACTCTGACATAGTTTAACCTCCAATTAGATTGGTGCGTCTCTTGATGAACATTGAATTTAGTTTTGTCCAACAAACATCAAACCTTTGTCGTTTTGGAGTACCTTTAAGTAAATACAATAATGGTAAAAGGTTAAGAAAAGAGGATGATCTTTTTTGAATACTTGTAGTTCTAGTTTCTTATTGTGTGATTAACAGCTTGATAAGCTCAGATAATAAACAACGCAACTTGAATTTAGGATAATGGTCTTGTTTGAATGGACGACTTTAAGGGTGGCATTATTGAGTATTCTGGATCTTTAAATGCTTAAAAGCCTGGTTACGTCCTAGTAAGTTTTATTATTGTGACATTTTAAATTTAATTCAGTTTGGACGAGTTTGAACTTCTTAGAGTAATTACTTGAAAGTTGTTCTAAAAGATACAATATGCGTCACAGTCACATTTTTGATAGTCAAACATTAAACTGGTCAAATAGAATCGAAATTTTATTCGTCAGAGGACTTATGTTAAACAATAATAAGTGGATCAATATTAAAATACTGAGAATTTGTGTTGTGACAAAGGTTGCCAGAAATAGCAACATACCTTCCCTCGATATCGATCACGGTATCAGCAAATTTGATAGATAGTATTGTCTCTGTGGACATTGTTCGTTTTTTACAACTCGGCAGATTATCTTGTTATTGTTGTGTGTTGGAATTACGATAACCGAACTTCATTGCAAGCTTATCTTTTGCCTAGATAGTTGCCGAGCACTTGGCGGTAAAAATCTCGGCAATTGGATGTATACGGAACCCGGTCGCGGACTAGCGCATTAACCTGAAGTATTTTCTTGCTGAGCTGGGTCTCAACATGTGCAGGTGCTCAAAAAATACATTTTATAACGGGTTTTAAAGACAAGTGTTTCAAATGCTAGATGGAGGGGAACCAGATGAATTTCTGCCTCAAGCGTAAAATTCGGAAACAGTCAGAAAAGTAACTACTAGGGGTGAGAAATTTTCCATGCCAAGGACCTCTCCTCGTAACATGGAGTAAATCGAAGTAAGAAACTGATCATGAATTTGATGAAAACATTACGGTGATTAAGCAAGTCGTTTTTGCTTATTGATATCAAAAATTTAATGGTTATCGTTTGTTTAACACATCGCTATTAATTATAGTAACACTGGACTAGTGGTTACCGCTTGAACTGATTTTCTTGCGTTTGTGTCATGTTCAAAACTTGTAAATTAAGAAAAATTGGGATAGTTGTGGATTTTTTTGAAAAACGACTGAAAAATCAGGGAATTTGATTTACTTCATTAAGTCGACACCCTCACTGAAACAAAATCCATTGGAAAAAATATTATATTGCCGGTTTAAATTAAATACCTTCACCAATAGATTTTTGCGGAAAACAATCTAATTTATTTTTACTATTATTTCTATCAAAATTACTATGCATTTTGAGCATGCATAGTAGTTTTGCCAAAATCATAGTAAACTCGGGTGAGAAAACGATGATAGAGATTTTCTTCAAAATCTCATCGAATTTTTCGTCATGACAAAATGTGACATAGTTGTGATCATCGTAATTACTAGCTCATTTATTGCTTTTAAAGTTGCTTGTACCGAGAAAATCGTAATAATATATTGACTCTACCGATTACCTTCGGTTACATTTAATCTAAATCAGTTGAAAATGTAGATGCAAAAACCGCAATAGAATTATTCTCATGAGTGCTTGATCATTGGAAAATGACAAGAAAACTAATGATATAACTAATACCAGCTCTGGACTCTTTATCAAATCTAACGGTACGTATG